TAAGGAATCAAAACTTTTAGTAAAAGAATTACATTTTGATTTCTGAAAACTCCGTATAAATATTTTTAACAATATTTTTTTACAACCAAACAGAATTTAAATGATGTCCCAAAATTATATTTTCTGGATTTGAAAAAAAAATGGTATAGAATGCCTATTGAATAATGTGTTTCAGGGACAAGTCTCAATAATTTTCGACTATTTTTTATTATTAATTATATTCAAAATCTTGTATCTAATAGGCATAACAATATTAAAATCTTATTATCCAAGTTTGTATTTCTTTTGCCACATGGTCTTGCTTTTAAAGTTAACTCAAACTTGTGAACATCATAAAGTCTTGTCACAGTTCAATCCACAGTATTTACAATTCAATTAATCTGACAGTGAAAATTCCTCAACCTCATCCCTAATAAGAACATCAAAATCAAAACCAGATAGCTTGAAAAGGTGTCAATGAGAACGTGGGAAAAAATGTATGATTCATTCCTTCTTGTATGATGAACAAAAGAGAAACAATAATGAATGGTAACTACAAAATCTGATGAAGAGCAAGGCCAGTCTGAATTACTTACAAGTGCTACATGCAAAGTGTGCACTACAAATCAAGGGAGTTGGAATGACCCTCCAATTTGGCTGCTACCAGAGGGAGGGTCAATAGCAACCCAAAGGAGTGAGATAGTGATTGCTATTAGACCTGACCATACGAACACAATAGTGGGTGTCCTGCCCCTTCTACCCATTAGCCCTTTTGCAAAGGGATACAAGTGAGCCAAAACCCAAAAGCTGAAAAACACACCTCCAAGCAAACTGCTCCATTGACGATCCTCACTGTATATAGTTCTGCTAACCGCAACAGCAATGGCTATCAAATTAACCATCATAATTGTGATTGGTGGTATCATAAGAGAAGTCCACTTGAGGACATAAAGATCAGCATATTCGTCATTTTCGTCATCACCACCAGATTTTGATGTCAAAGTGAATGAAATCTCAATGCCAGCCATCACCTTCAGCAGACCCTGAAGCACAGCAGCAAGATGAGCACTAGTGCCTCCAATCAACCAGAACTGTTCATTCCTCCACCACTCTTCAAGCTCAATGCCAGACCATTTGATTTCCAAAACAGCAAGGATGACAAGGGTCAAGGTTATCCCCAAGAGGTAAACTAGGAAGGTGACTTGAAGGCTTTGAACAATGAACTGGTCAGTGAAGAGTGAAAGAGCAGGAAGGAAGCAATACACAATAAGGAAGATGGAAGTGAAAGGGTAGATTCCAACGTTCAGGTAAGCAATCCTCTGCAGAAATTTCAATCTAGAGCTGGCCAAAAGAGCATTGTTGCGTGAAAAGAAGATCTCAACTGAGCCTGTTGCCCACCGAAGAACCTGGTGAAGCCTGTCTGTGAGATTGATTGGAGCAGTGCCACGGAATGCATCTCTTTTGGTCACACAATATATAGACCTCCATCCTCTATTGTGCATTCTATAACCTGTCACAACATCCTCAGTAACTGACCCGTAAATCCATCCAATTCTGAGGCCCCATTCAGTCTTGTCCTCATACCAGCATGAGATGACATTGATGGCCTCGGCAACAGTAGCCGCATCAAGAGGGTCCCGAGGGAGTGTTAGGGCACCAGGTGGACGTCCATATTTGATGGATGAATGATCAGCAAGGGGAAGCCCTTGGAACTCAGCCACCCTGATGGAATCAACAAGAAGACTCGAGTTGCCAAATTTCTTGGGAACAAGAGCAGTGCTCATTTCTTCATCCTCAATGTCATTATTCCTCAATGACTGATCCTCAGCACCAGCATCAGGGACAGATGCTACTGTCGAGGATTTCTTATTCTTTCTACCAAACCAACCGGTCTCTTCCTTGATCCGGGGTGGATCAAAGCCATAGAGAGCAGTTCTCCTAAAAAGGCATCCTGTGCCAACATATACAGGACCTTGAATTCCATCAAGAGCACGCATATTGACATCAAAGAAGACAGTGTTGTGATTTGCATAGCGATCATTGGGATCTATCCCTTCAAACCTTTGAGGAAATTGGACATAGCAGAGTCTGTCTCCACCACGGTCCATCATGAAGCACATTCCTTCTCTCAGGGCCTGAGAGTTAAATATGTAATGGTCACAGTCAAGATTGAGAATGAAAGGGCCATTGGACATTACGGCTGAGGCTCGAACCAAGGCATTCATGGCCCCAGCCTTTTTGTTGTGATCATAGCCGGGTCGTTTTTCACGCGAAACATAGACAAGCATAGGAAGACGAATATCAACTTCAGTTAAATCCAAGGAATTTGAATCTGATGCTGTGCCAGTCAGTGGTTCATCACTTGGGGGTTTCAACATTACCTGCGTTCGAGAGAGGGTACATGATAAGCACAATCAATGTTTATACTAAAATATGAAACTTCAACGTACAAATGAATGAAAATGAATGCGCTAAGCTAATGAATAATGAGAGTTTTAACCACTGAGGACCTGAAGCTCGGCAAAATACAGCTAACAAAAGTGAGATGGAAAGTATAGGATACTAATGAATAATGAGAGTCTCAAAGATTGATAACTACCTGTATGATACTGGCATGATCACCCTTGGAATGCTCTGGTGCAGCAGTTGTCCAAGTGCCAGGCCAGTGAGTACCATCAGCCATCCATGTAGCTTTAGGAATTTTTAAATTCTCCACTGGTTCTTCATTTCCATTCTCTCTCCATTTCCTCATGGCTTTGATTTCTTGACTAGCATTGTAAGCATCAGAGCGCCGCCTGATTGAATCTGGAAGGCCATTAATCCGAACCTTGAACTCATCATACTCGCGCTTTACTCGCCTGCGGTCCCTCACAAAGTCAGAACGTACTTTGTTCTTGTAGGGATCTCTCTTGAGATTAAAATAAGATTCTGGGTTCCTGGGTTCAATGTCATGCTTCCGGCAAAAAGGAACCCACAAATCGGCAAAACTTGCAGCCTCTGCCATGGCCTCAAAAGTTAGGAGCGCACCTCCATCATCAGAGACATAACATGAGAGTTTCTCAACAGGATAGTCAGCAGCTAGAATAGAAAGAATGGTATTGGCAGTAACAAGTGGTGGTTCTTTTTCTGGATCAGCAGTTGACACAAACATATCTATTCCTGGAAGATCCGACTTCCCAGTAGGATTGGCGGGATTAGGAGTTTCAAACTTCTCTTTCAAAACATCGAGATCCGCAACACGATTTACGGGGAAGAGCTTAGGAAGCTGGTCAAGCACCCAGGAGAAAGCAAACCATATTTCACAAACTACAGACATGCCCCACAGCCAGACAGCATCATCATTGGGGTTTTGGACCCTCCACTTTAGAAAGAACACTAGAATCACTAGCCGAACTAATATAATGAGCCTGAAACTCAACATAACAGTTAAAAGTTAATTTTGGATTAGTTATAGTTAATACTTTGATTCAGATACTACTACCAATATATGTAGTAGATAGAACGTATATCACACAGTGATCAAATTCCAGAAGCTAGACAAATAATATGAATAGTAAAATTAACAACAAAACAGTCAAAGTTATGAACCAGTAGCAAAGCACATTTTCTGTAACAAATAATAGTTTCACCCATTCACTGTCTTAGTTTTAAACAGTAGATGTTTATGAAATATACTAATTCCTCGGAAAGAGGGGGGACATTCATTTGCCAAGAAACTAATTCAAATTGAATGCAAGAAAATGGAGATTCCAACTTGAGTTAAAACTGTCATTCGTAATCCATAACATAGAACAAACATTGCATTGACACATCAATGAGAAAATCCAACCTCACAAATTTATCTCCACATTCATTGCCAAAAAGCAGGGTAAAATAAAATAAGAGGAAAAGAGACTCGTACCGATAAGGACTGAGAATTGCAGCAGAAATACTCAATTTGCGAGTCAAGGGCCTCCACTGCTTTTCTTTGAATACATTAGGGTCACCTCCCATCCAATCAGAGCCAGAGCCAGAGCCAGAACCAGAACCAGAACCAGAACTGGCATCAGGTTCCGACTCTTTAGGCCACATAGCATTCCCATATCCATAGCTCCCCTTGCTTTCAAACAACCACTGAGCATGATCAAACTCATTAGTATGGCTCCTCGTCAACGCCCCTGATTTCATCAACGACAACCTCCTCTCCATCTTATTAACCCCAGAACCAGGAGGCAAAGGCAGTGTCTGTGAGTTGGCCACACCTTGCACATCAGGCTCATTGTAAGGCTCCTTGCAACCAGGACAAATCCCCTCACCAGCCCTCAAAGCATCCCTATAACAATCCCTACAAATCTTGTAACCGCACTCACAAGGGACTACATCCAACCCTCTTTCATCAGTCATCACCCTTCCATCACACCCTGGCACTGCACAAGAGGACCCTTTTGCACCAGCCATCTGGGGATGGCTGGATTCGGACTCAATCACCTTGTCCTTCAAATGAGCACGTGTGAGCTGGTTAAAACCGCCGGTGAACAAAGAACTGGAAGCATATTGATCTTCCACTCTCCGAGAACTTGACCTCTCCAGGGAAATCTCCATAGGCTGGTTATCAGGCGTTGGAGGAATGTGAACTGTGTAGGTAGCAAGCCCAACACTCCCATTATCACCCTCCTGATCCAAATCATTGCTCAGCTGCGTGATCTTCCGAACCATAGAGGACCCATGCTTGAATTTAGAAGCCATGGCAATGAACCACCCTACAGCACCTGTAGTTCAACACCCCCACCCACTATTTAATTTTATATAAAAGATGAAACGTTTGGAATTGTTCAAAAAAAAACAATTCAAACACGAAAAAATAAGAATAAAGAACAACTCAATCCTCGCTGAGAAACTATGTGTGTGTCAAGTGGCGAGACGGAGAACCTGAATTATAAAGAATTGCAATGGGAAAGAAAGTTTCTTTAAAATGTCTTACCAACTCAAGGACAACAACAACCAAGCGCGTGTCTGACGCCGTCAAGTGTCAACTTCTCTCTATGGAGGGAGCAAACAGGACTGAGTCCAACGCAGATAAGTATTTTCAAAACCCACTAAACAAAAACGACACAACCAAATCCCGTTAATAATTCCAACACAGAGAGACAGAACATAACAGATCACATCCTCGTCCACATTCAGAAAAAATCAATGCCGGCCCGGCAACCTTAAACTGTGCATGAACTTCAACCTTCAAATTTAGTTTTGGGAGTTTGGTGAGGGAACGAGTGAAGGGTGTGTTTGGTGCTTTTACCGGATCGACGACAGCTTTTACGGCGGGGAAAGGGAAAGAGAGAGAAAAAGAACAGCTTTTACAAGGATATGGTCTAAAGTGACATGATGTTGTAACAATGTGCCAATGATCCCGGTATCTGAGAAGACAAAAGAATTTGCAATGCGTGTAAATAGATTTGCGTGATTCTGTTATTTTATTACTGCGGACAGGTTCCTTCGGGAAGTACGAGTGTCTGATTGAGACGAAATGGATTTTGTTTTTAATCCAAACGCTGTGTACGCGGAAGGATAGATTTTATTTGCGGACAACTTTACGTATTCTTTCATTTCCATACTGCATTCTCATTTGCAATTTTACTATTTTTTTTAATCAAATATTCATAGAAAGATAAACTTAATTAATTTCTTATTATGATTGAAAAAAATATTATTATATTCATATTTATTATATTTATTATTAAAAATTTATTTATTTATTTAAATACATCTTATAATAATAATAATAATAATAATATATATATATTTGATTATTTGATTATTAATAATATTATATGTAAAGAATAATTATTAATATTATTTAAAATTATAAATATGATTACTCTAATTTTTTTTATGAAAAATCTCATTTTCATTCAAATTTTTCTCTATTATTTTTTTTATACTGATTTGACATATGAAGGCGTTTTATCAATATTTTTTTAGTTTTTCAATATTCAATAGGATTATTGTAAAAAAAAATCAATATTCAATAAGGATTATTGTAATTTTTTTAAGAACAATTTTACTTGTTGGGCTATAGTTAATTTTAGTTTATTGCAAAAATTATTTATTTCTAGTTTTTTACTTTTAAGAATTTATACAAAACAATTATCTAAATATCATCCCATTCTAAGGTTATTTATTACATTTTATTATCAAAATTAATATATTTTTTTATTTTTTATTTAGTTTATATAACTTATTTCTTATTAAAAAATTATTTTGATGTTTTTTAATTGTTTAAAGTCGATATTTTTATTTCCATCAAATTGATGCTAATATTAGTTCTTAGAGGCACATGTCAATTTCATATTTTATATAACCTCATATTTTATAAGTTAAAACTTGAAAAAAAAAAAATGACAACATATTTGATATATTACTTTATTTTTTATATGTATTTTAAAAAATTATTTAAATGTATAGCACTGCCGCTGGTGGACCAAATCCAACCAAATGTATAGCATAGCAAAGGACAAGTCACATATCAATTAATAAAATAAGAAGAATCATTAGATAAGGTTTTGGATAGTATTCCAGGTTTTGACCATGAAGTTTACACAATTTTGGTATGATATATCCTAAAATGAATAGCAGTAAGTGAATAATTTCAGCAAATTATTATAAAATAGTCAAATAAATAATAAAGTAAGTAATTAAACGTTTTCTATCATATGGTCCATACATCATGTTCTGCACCAAATCCAACCATATACCCTAACAAAGGGCAACCTTCGTACCCTAATAACATAAAAGATAATGCTCACTAAAATATTCTCCTTTATTAATGTTCATTGTTCAAGTTATAAACTTTGATGTAAACTCTCAAACTGATTTTTGTTAAAATGAGAAAGTATTTTCTGGGTGGAAATGAGACTAGGAATTTTTCTCTTCTTCAAGAACATTTCTGTTGAGTGAAAATGTTTTCCTTTGAAAAAAAAAATGAATATGAGATCATCTTCTCAAATATGCAAATCTTGTCGTATAGGAGAAAAATATTTGCTTAAGTGAAAATTATATAAAAATCAAATTTTACAAAATATATACTAAACCAATATCTAACTATGATAACTTGATCTTAACTGATCCTACATTGATTATCACTTAAAAATAAATATCATTTTATTGTCCTAATTACATTCTTCCATTAAATCATTTAGATAATTACAAAATCTCTTAAAAGAGACATAAACCAAATTAAGATACTTTATCTAAAATCAAATGAGAAATAAACAACCCAATTTATTTCAATTATTGTAAAATCTTCCTAGTAACCTTATCACACCCAAATCTTCTATATGAAAATAGTAAAAAAAATTATCTTATTTTTCTCTTAATGTCTTTTAAGTCAAAATTCTCAAATGTTTTTAATGATAAAAAAGTCAAATCCTATTTAAAAGAATTCTAATCAACAAAATGAATATACTATTAAAAATCTAGATAAATAAGGAATTAAAAAAATATATATATCCAGTCTAAACATGTAAAGAAAGAAAAATAAAATTACTCTAATAAAAAATTACTCTAATCAAAATTTAAATAGAATAAAAATGATTTAGTCGTGTCAATTTTACACTTAAAAAATATGAAAATATATGTTAAAATCTAACATAAAAAATCATAAATATTTTGTTATACATCTTAATATATTTTTATTTTTAGTTATCGTTTTAATAATTTATTTTGTGTGATTTTTTATTTCCTATACTTTTAATTGTTCCGTTTTATTTATTTTTTAAATTATTTATAGAATTTTATTCAATATAGTTAATATAAACATAGTTAGAATACCCAAAAAGAGTTGAATCATAAATACTTCATAGAAAATAAAGAGCTCCACCATCAGTTACATAATCTAAAAAGATATGATATTTGCATTACTTCAATATAATAATAAAAATTGACAGTGATTTTTAAAGAAAGAATATATATTATGATTAATTTACCGCATAAACAGTAACAACGTAATCGTGAAAAGAATCAATAGTTATTAAAAAAAAAAAGAAAAAAAAAAAGTGATGTGGTTGGTTTTACTTTACACGTAATGGAATGAATGTCGAGTCCGCATGAATGATACTCCCGCGTAGCAGCAGACCATGTGAAGACCGCAAAGTGTGAATCCAACGTTTTGTTCGTGTCGTGCCCTCACATTATGTGGGTCCCTTCACCTTCGATCCGCGTGGGTCCCACCTCTTCACATGATGTTTGTTTGTTGCCACCTATGAATCGTGAAAGGTTGCCGTTGCCTCGCCGTAATTGTTGCTGGAATTTTGAAAACACATCGCATTTGTAGTCCTTATGGTCTATTATTTACTTTCATCATTCAAAATATTTTCATCATAATTTTCCATCTAGATACTTTTTTATTTCATAAATGCAAATATTGAAAATACATAAAACACAGAATATTAAAAAGACACTTTTTAATGTAAACAGAATTTTTTATTTTTAATGTTTTATTATATATAAAAAATATCATTTTAAATTAAAGTTGTGTAGAGTTTCTTTCACTCGACTTAGACCATGCGGATGCCGTGTTGTGTTGTGTCGTGCCCCTTTTTCTCCTTCTCTCACCGTGGAAAAAAATTATAATAATTGACTCTATAATTTATTTTACAAGAACTTGAACATGTTTTATGAGAATAAAGCCTTTTTTTTTTTTACCTTATTTGATATTGTATTTTTTAACATAAATACCATAAACATTTCATTTATTCGTGACCGTCCTATTTGTTTAGGTACATAATCCTTCTTAAATTAAGCAAAAATACAAATATTATAGACCGCGAAAATCTTATTTCGAAATTTAAATGCAAAAACTACTTTTTTTTCAATGTCAACTTAAAATTAATCTCGGTCTGACCATCATGATCGTCGCTTCTTCATGTTTATCAATTTCGAGTAAGTAAATCCTTAAAAAAAGACACCTTAATATTGAATCCTTCAAAATTGATAGATCTATAAAATACTATTAGAAAAAAATAGAAATTTAGAAGAGAAAAGAAAATTATGGTTTAAATATATTTTAAATTTTATAATTCCTAAAATATATTTATATTAGTTTTTAAACCTCGCATTTTGTTAGTTTTTTTAATAGATAATATATTTATTATTTATACTAATATAAATAACATATAAGAAGAATTGAAATGACAAGAATTAAGATTTGTTTTTATTCAAATTATTCATTCATTTTAATCTATTTTTTTAAAATAATAATATCTTTAATCAATAAGTTCTAAGAAAATAATTTGTGAATAAAAAGAATTCAATTTTTTTAATTTATTTTTTAATTATTAAAAATATTTTTAAAAAGTTTTTTTTAAATAAATTAAAAAATTATTTGATAATTCTTTTTTTTTAATTATGTTAAATGAAATAGACTAACATTGACCATAACAAAATATTATGACGAAAATTACAAAAAAAAAAGGACTTTGAAAATGTCATAGTGACGAAAGTAGTGATCTAGTGAAATTATGAATAGAAAAATAATATTATTAACGAAAATAAAAATATTTTTATTAATTTTTTAACTTTTAAAAACTAAAAGAATTAAAATTATTAAAAAAATTATTTTGATTTAAAAAACTAAAAAATTAAAAATTGATAAAGACTAAAAAATGTTAAAAATGTTCAGACATTAAAAACTAATAGATACTTTTGTAGAACTAAAAATAAACGAAATTATATTTATAGGACTAACAAGAATTTAACAACAAATTATATCAGTAAATGACATTAAGTCCTATTTTGTTTATACTATAATATTATATATATTGTTTTGTAGCTCGTTTCAATTATGTATTTAAAATGAAAGAAAAAAGGTGGTGTAATTGTATCGTGTACTCCTTTTTTCTAATATTCTCTTTTGTTCTATACCATCTTCATCTCTTTTCTGTTAGTGTTGTTCATTTGTTTTTATCTTCATTCTTTGTATGCTTTCATTTTAATTTTTTGGGCTACAGAGAAAGGAGACAGAGGAGAAGCATCCATTTTTTGTTTTCTCTGACGATGCAGTGTGAAACGGGAGGATTCCAGATTCCTACATAACCCTCAAGAAAAGAAACTTTGTTCACCATCATCATATCATATCATCTCTTCTGTTGCAATGATGACTGACGATTGTTTTATTAATCATTAGTTTCGTATAAATTATGGATGAGAGTAGAAAAGTGTTGTTATCAATGGGTACGTGGCACATTCACAACCCTAGTAGATTACAAACAATTCTGATATATAGTACTACGTGAGTGATGTTCATGTTTTTATTCCCAGGTACTCATCGATGGATTGCTTGATTGATTGTGTGACCGAAGGAAAACAGGGACAAATGGACACAGAATGTTAAAGCTTTCTAATTTCTACTTTATTGCATTTCTTGGTGCGTAAGAGTCTTGGATTCATCATGATTTGAACCACCACCATCCACACATGTCAAAAGAAAAAAAGAAAAGTCAAAACCAATCTAATAATTAACATCTACTGTTGCATTATTTGCCATGCCCATTGAACAAATGCATGTTACTTTTTCTTGTCAGAAAAAGTCAATTAGGGTTTCATCACCATACTATAAAATAACTTGCGTTTGGGTATCATTCTTGGTGGATAGGAATAAAATATAAAACAAATAAGCATCATCTTCTCCGAAGAGTTACAATTTCTTCCACAAGTAGAGTGAATTCGTGACGTGTAGGTTACGTCCAACGTATTATAAGAGTAAAAAAAAAAAACTGCCATACCTTTGGGTGGTAATTTGTGGAATGTACGATAATGTTATATAATAGAATAATAATGATAATTTTCAGTTATTAAAAAACTATAATTTTCGTCATTGTATTATTAAATTAGTATTCTTAACAAATTAAATTTTTTAGTATCGATACTATCATGTAAATAGGAATTATAAATAAATTCACTAAAATAAATGTAAACAAATCAATGAATAACTATAAAAAAATATTTAATAGTTTAGTTCTTTTCAATGTTATCTTCAACATAATAATAATAATCATAATAATTTAAAAAAAAATATGTGTATAATTTATCTTTAAAAAAACACCTCTACAAGTTTATATAATAACATATTTATCATAAAAAATCTCAACTCCATCTTATATTTCCTTTTGTTTTTACACCCCTAAATTTTATTAATTTATACGAAGCGAAAGCAGGACCAGAGTTGTTCAAACAATGTTATCAGGATGTAGTAAAACTAACTTAACCTGACCCAACACAAAATGGGCCAGTGATTGACCATAACTGTCCAGCCCAGTTTAGTTGTAGATTCAACTCCCAATCATGTCTTTTGTCATGCACAATAGTAGTCTTCTGGTTGAAAAATGGTTCAAATGTACTCAGCATGAAACATTGGTTCAAATTTATTCACATGAATACTCAACATGAAATACTAAATATTAATTTTAGTATGTTGGATTTCAATTATCTCGTACCATCTCATTTTCACCTTTGTTTAGTTCTACTCACATGTTTGGAAAAACTAATATGTATTTAAGTTAATATTTTAAGAAAACTTTTTTTTTTCAATTTAACAATAACACATGAAAAACTTCAATTTGCATTATTATGAAACTTCAATTAATTTAAATTTTAATTGTGTAAATTGAAGTATTAAGAATGCAAATTTGTTATTTATGTTAAATCATAATTTTCAAATATCGGTATATTAAGCTGGTTGGATAATCTTGTCAAATGTATTTCAGTGAAGTCAAGTTAATATCACTAATGCAATTTAAGTATTTAATTTGACACAAATAATGCGAAATGGAAATGTAGTTTCAGATAAACTCGGAGGATTAACACTAATGTATTATAGAAACACTTTCGAGCATGCTGGAAGAATAAAGAAAAAGGTTTATTGGTTCGTTAAAGCCCGAGTCATGATTCACACAATAGTTAAAAAGTAAAGAAAATCGATGGCTTGTGTTACCTTCCCAAGGAAGACAACATTTTACAGTCACCCCGGGAAACGAAACTGTGATGGTATTTATCAGCTTACCCAATCCCTGCAACTCCATAACTCCTTTGTCCTGCTGGTAAGGTGACATCACTGATAAGACTATTCAAGATTGTTGTCTATTACTTATTTCTATTAGACACAGACAAGGCCATCTGCAAAACTTTAAAAGGCTCAGAACCAGAAGATACAACAATGATCTCATTCATCATCAACTGTTTCGAAAATTAATTAAAACACCAATGTTGTTTTATGAGCAAAAAATTCCAATAGAACTTAAGTAGTAACTCCAAATAAACCAAAAATAATAGAGGACACCGGATCATATCACTTTCCTACATTTGTCATCCACTACTTCCTCCACCTGTTTGTAACACCACTGCACAATATTGAAGGGTGTGTTAGCATTTCAAGACTGGCCATTCTATACAAACATGTTTAACCATTAGCCATTCTGTTTTCCAATTGTGCCATTACTGTGTTTTCCCACACAACATTGCCAGCAGAAACAACTCATGCAGCAACTTGGTCTTGCGCACTTGGGGTAGCAGCTTGGCAATGAACATTTTGTTACACCACAGCAGCTGGGCCATAAGCATTTTGTGCAGCAGGATGATCCCAAACAACTAGGGAACTTGGGGAAGCGGCAACACTTTATGCAGCTAGGTCTACAACAGCATTCAGGACAGTTGATAGACCAGGAAACATTCATGCAGTCGCTGCAGCAATTAGAGCATTCAGGACACTTAAATCTACAACACTTCATTGTACAGCATGTACTACAGGTGGAACAAATGCTTGACTTTGATTCCTTAGCACTTTGCCGAATCTTCTTGAGGCGCTTCTCGGTTGTCATGCTCTCCATTTCTTGGATAAATTTACATAGATGGCGGATGTAATCAGGGTAAAGCTCCAAGTTGCAGTGACCACCTCCTTTGATCCACAAGGGCTCATACGATTCCCTTGCCATTTTCCAAAGTCCATTACCATGTAACCAATTCACAACTTCGTCTTCTGTACCCTGCAAAACAATTTAGCAGATCAATCATGTTTAAGCATGAAACGTAAGTAGAGGTGGCTTTGTTCAGATTTTGTTTAAGGAGAATGCAGAAATTGTTAATCTCTCATGCATGTGCATACAAACACATATTGAGGAACGAAAATAGAACATCACATGGAAGAAACTCTTAATTTATAATTTCCAAAACAGGGGCAGAGACAAGAGACATGGCAAATTAAGATGATCAGAGAATAAAGAATTAGCATGAATGTTGATGCTTAATGAGAATTTCTACAAAATACACGAAAAAAGAAATTAAGAAGAGTTTACCATAAAACCTACACAAACTGTAATTCTGATATGAAATTAAAGCTGAACTTCTAGTTTTGTAATATTAATTACCAGATATAGCGGCAACAGAGAGCTCAAAGAAACAAGATCACTATTCGCCAGCATATTTTACAAATGAATAAAGCTTACATTTATCTTGATAAATAAAATGAATGCTACCCAGTAATTCTCCATCTATCTTCCCAATGCTTGTTTTCTTTAGGAGCAGCATAATTAAAGTTCAAACTAGTTAAATAAAGCCAGGCATATTAATCTGGATCCAAGGGGGAAATTATCACCGAACAGTTTAATTGCAGAAGCAGATGATAGCCTATGATGAAGCATGATACAGTTTGTCTAACAAACACATTAAAGTAGCAGTCCATAGAACTAATGTAAAAGTCAATCAAACATGAACTTGGGTAAAGCATCGAGTAAATCTCTTTGACTGTGTAATTGTTAGTTGTTCATTTTTAGGCATAACAATTTCAAACTATTTACTTTTAACCATAGATAATAGTCCCATAACAGGTTTACTTCAATAAGAAAAGAATGACAGTGGAAGGGTTTAACCAATTTCCAGTCCTCACTTCTTTATTTTCCTTTTCATAAAGATATACTAGAATATCCATATTAGCTTCCCAACAATGGAAAGAACTAAATTATGATGGCTGACATGCTTTTTCGATATACAATCAGAAGCTCAAAAGCTTGAGAATCGTTCTGTGCAATTACTGCTACGTCTATTACTTTCTATAAATGTCAACAGAACCAAATACACAAGAGAAAAAACAGTGCAATTACACTGCATCATTTACTTACATGTATTACGAGTACAGGGCACTTGACCTTCTTTACTTTGTTGATGTTCTGCGTGATTAGAAAGAAAAAATTACAAATAGATCCAAATAACGACATCTTCAAATGCGAGTCTTTTTCAATCTTGCTAAAGATTCCATTGAAAGGCTAGCTCCAAATAGTTTACCATTACTTTTTTTGGTCGATTTAATAGTTTGGTCAGAATAGAAAGAACCATTATACATAGTCATCACTTTTCCTACATTACGTACCCAAATGTGAAAAAGTAGATAACATTTGTGCCATGCTTCAATGTTTAATCAGATCGCCTATATTTTATATAGTATTCTGGCCATGTGTATGTTACCTTATAAATATCGAAGCAAAATGTGAACTTCACATGGCAGAGCACCCGAAGGCCAGAAAGAATTCCACTGTGTAGAACCACACCTCTCAACCTTGGCAATTTAGATGCCAAGTGCAGTGTTGGCCCACTTCCAACTGATTGCCCATACAAGATAACATCTTCTTGGCTCACTCCATATTCAGTTTCAAGGCATTCATAAATTGCTTCTATGTCGGCGTAAGTGCTGGACTCACTAGGCTGTACAATTTTAAAGAGTTGGTATTGCATATCAATAACATGGCATTCATAGAATTTCTGAAAGAAAACTACCATTTATTTACAACTAGACAGTGTAATTACACAAATTGGAAATAAAAGGTTGACAGAGGTTTAGCATCACAATAAATGTATTGTATAAAAAAATGCAGATGTACACGCTGCTCTTCCAAGCATATTATACATCAGTTTGACATAAAGTCCATCTCAAGTTTCAAGTCTACTAGAGCTTAATTAAGAGAACATACATCGTTATTAACAATTGGCTATTATCATCAGAAAGTTAACTAGTAACCATGTTTCTAAATTGGCGTACTGTTATTTTTAAGTGCTGCATTAGTTAAGTATGAGGTTGATAATGATAATATAAGAGAAAAGAATCCAAACATCTAATTCCTTAATAATGTCATGTTCAATTTTCTGTCCTGCTACTTTAGCCTTTTGGTACATGTTTCAGTATTTGGATACAGAGGTTAGTCTGAGCTTTGGTTTGGGGCAATGTTTGTAGAGCCATGTCGTTGGTCACTACTTAAAAACTAGAGGATGCTTCTGCCAAAGAACAAGTATACTAATGTGGTGAATAAAGAAATACCACAGCAGGTATAGTGTGCATGGATTTGTCCAGACACCACTATTATGCTTCTTATTGTCACGCTTCACACGCAAGACATGATCAGGAAAACAATCCAAACATTTAAAAAAAAACACATACACACAATGAAACCGCAATTCTTTTTGGTGCATTGAAGAACGAAGGATATAGAGTGAAATGTAAGATATAGGAGTAGGTAAGGTACCACCCTTTCAACAAAACATAATTGTGCTTCTCTGTGGGTTTGTTTGTGTTGTCCACTCAATAAAACAAAACATGTAATGTTGTATTTGCCATAGAATGGCCTACCTTGCCAGTAGATGCCCCGTATCCAGAGTAGTCATATCTGCAAGCCAAATATTCGATAAAAACATCAGTTTTCAACTTTAGTCTCGAAATGTTGGCCCCCTAAAATATTGAAGTAACATCATTTTCATCTTTCAAACACTATTGACATCCATTAAGCACAACAATTCCAATTTTGATTCAATCAAGCCCAACTAAATTGGTTCAAATGGTGAATTCAACAGGTGAACTAAATTGATGCATCTACATGAAAATAGATGACAGCATTTAAAAATTGCAATTACAGAAAACTCTTATTATGTTTTTACTTTTTAATTTACTTCTTGAAAGAGAAGGAAAATCACGTAGGGGGGTAAAAAGGGTAAAAGTTGACAGAGAGCCTCATGGTGAAGCAGGGCTAAGGAGGATGAAACGTTAGGGTACGTCGCCATCCATGTATAGGTAAAAACTGGAATACTTTATGCAGAGGAGAAAGAAAATGAATCGGAAGACAAAGAGAGATCAAAAAATAGCTAGGGAGTACCAAGAAGCAACCATAAATACAAGCCACTTTTCTTTTTCCCTTTCACTTTTACTTTTTCCAAATTTTGTTTTTTTGTTTGAAGAGGCCACGCTCAGGTGCCCAAAACTCCAACTCCCTTCACTTTACACATTGATTGAAAAGATGTAGGAAAAGGCATAGACATTGGCATTGCCATGCCATATCTTACACACTCATTCACCACCAGATCTAAAAAAACCACGCACCACAACAACTCATCAAAATGTTAACCATGCATAGATTCACCTAATCTCAGATCTACGCTACAAAACACACAAAAAATCCCACCATCTCACACCCAATAAAATAGGAGATAAAAAAAATAAAAACTTTAGAGGAAGAAAGAGAAAAAACATAGAGAGAGAGTAAAATTAAAAATAAAAACTCGGAGATAATACAAAACAAGGGTCAGTGGTAACGTGCGGTCTTTGAACTTCGTGAGGTTTAATGAAGTAAGATAAGAAGAGACAAAGATAAAAACGAGAGCGAAAACAAAAAACAAAAAGGAAAAACGAATGAATGAGTTTAAGCATGAACGATTTATCAGAAAACCACTAACCCCATGAGATTAACTCTAAGATTGACCTTGAGTTGCACGAAGAGATCATAGAGTTGACCCAAGTCAGCGGCATTGCCATGGGAATAAAGAAGGGTGAGGCGAGCGTAGGGGTTTCTGAGATAAAAGGCGACAATCTTGTTTCCATGCTTGGTGTCGACGAGGAGAACGTCCAGGGAGGTGTCATCGGCGTGGGGGATGGGCGCCGCCGTGGAGACCACCGTGAGCTTGCCGTCGTCCCTCTTCTTGAGGTTGTAGGTGGGCGGAGAGGGCGGAAAGAAAGCGAATTTCGCGGCCAACTGAGACACCATGCACCCCATTCACCCCCCAGCAAGAGATGCAGAAACTCAAACTCATTTGATGCTCACACAGACTCAAACAGCATCTGGGGCTCCCTTCTACTCTCTCTCTCTCTCACACACACAGACACACAAACACACACTTGTTGTTCTTTGAGTGAAGGAGAAGAAGGTTTTTGGTGAGTGCAAAGAATGATAAAAGTGGAAGTTCAGGCCCACTAGAGAGAGAAGGGTGTTAAATGTTGATGCTATGGCCTTATGGAAGTTACTTACTTACTCACTTTGGTGTATGATGGATGTGTAGAGTGAGTTTGGAGATTGTGAGATGTGGAGTGTAGTGGTGGCAAGGCAACAGAGAGAAGAGAAGGGAGAAAGAGTGAAAAGAGAAAGAAAGGACAGAGGAGTTAATTTCAAAACTGAGTTTAAATTTATGTGCATGACTTAACTTCATACATAGTTGTCAGCTACACACAGAAGCACCTCATGTTGTATTTCTGCTAACTGACATTTTTTTATTGGAAAATGATACTTTCTTTCTACCCTGTCAAAAACAAAACGTTTTTTTTTTATGGATATCATAAACGTTCATGTTAGTCTCTATTAGTTCTTGCAAGGAGTTAGAAGAAGTAACACAGAGAGACTTGTTGTTACTACTTATTTAAAATGTTAATTAATTTGCTTACCAAAACGGTCAAACATGTTTATTAACAAGCACTTAAGCAATGATTATAGCTTGTTAAATATTTGATAAACAGTGCTGTGTGTTTATTCGTGATGACTGTGGTTGGCATGTGTGATTGACGCATGTTCTCCAGTGTCTGGTGTTGAACTTCAACATTCATTCTGGCTGGCTACTGATTATTGCTGACACCTGTGAGTATGTGTTTGTATGAGTCCTTTCATTTTACCCGAACCCAATCACAAAGTAACGTTTCTGTGAAGATTAGACCATTGTTTTATGACTTATGAGTAGTGCCTCCAGGACCATAAGTTTGGTACATAATTTTCCTTATTCAATCTTCACCTCTAAGTAGCCATCAATGTCAATTTTGATGGCTCCGTATGATTAATTATCGATCAAATCAGACATAATCATGTTTTGGAGAAATATTCCTCATCAAAAGGAAATAAAGTTGTGCACATAATGCGATTGCAAGGGAGAAAAGGCAATTTTTTCATCATTAACAAGGTGGTGATTATTCCTTCAAAACAAAACCTCCAGTTTCTTTTTCTCTGATTAATTAATCAATTAATTTAATTAATTGTTTTTTTTTGGAATTTCGTTTCTCTATGTGAAAAAGAGGGAAAAAAAAACAATAGTGTTGATAAATAAAGTACGTGAAATGAAATTGAAAGTGACGCAACGGACGGCGATTGGAGTTACTGTTTAATGGGAACGATGGTTTTATTTTATAATATAATAAAATAATATCGTCATGTTCACACTAATTTATGCACATTACTTTAATTATTTTACAAACTAAAGTAAGTTACTAGTGTTAAAATTATTTCTATCAGTCTTATTTTCCAATAACTAGAAAAAAAAATTAAATCAATGTTGGTAATAAATATTAATAAAAACTAGTCTAAAAGTAATTATTTGCAATAAAACAATTATCCTAAATGAATTTTATTTATAAAATAAATGTTAAGTGATTATATAATGGATTCTCAATATATGATTTTAGTATAAAAAAGTTTTAGAGTCCTAAGATCATGATCATACCAAAGTTTGGCCTAAAATAAGTTATTCACTTTAGAAAATAGAGTATTTTTTTATGGTTAGAAAGAAAATAATAATCAATGTTATATTATATAATGTATAACATATAATTGATAAATCATAAACATATTGAAAAATTAATAGTTATTCTTTCTTTTACAGTGATAAAATTTTCTTATAAAAGAAAAAAAGAAAAACAAAACAAATAATATTTTTCAGCATAACGATGTCACTTTGTGTTATGTTTGATTTATTTCAAATGAATAGTATTTTTAGTGAAAAAGTTGTGAAAAAAAAACATGTTTTTTGTTTCCAGAATATATAGGAAGAATGTTGAAGCCTTAAATCACAATATGCCACTAACAAAACTACAATGGTCTTCAGTAAATAAACTTTGAGGATAATGAAAAGGCCAGGCCAAGAATATAAAAACATAATCCACATATAATAAAACAACAGCATTATTCCTTGAAAAGCAACAGAACATGAGAAACAGTATCAAAATAAACATGAATTATAATCTCTTTACCAAATCAACACATAGCTAGGATTCTTGAATTAATGCGTCTTACTACTCGGAGCTTGTTTCTCTTTTCACAAGCAAACACAACTTAAAGCTTTTAGCACTAATAAACAAAGCAGCCTAGTTACCTTAAAAAGTTGTCTACTTCACAATCAAAAGTAAAAAAATGGAGAGAGGATATAAAATAGGGAGAATCCTAGAAACAGAAAACGCAAATAACTCGGTATTGGAATGGGAATGTCACGACTATCTCAAATTTTTTTTATTTTGTTTATGTCACTTTTAAAATGTAGTCAATCGGAGTTTAAATTGAAGCAGAAATTATTAATTTTGAGTTTCGAAATTTATATCCGTTATCCTTGAACGTGGGGGTGGATATTCTTGCGTGTTCAATGATGTTTCTCTCACACCTTTTCAGTTTACACTGTTTTATATTCTTTCTTCCATCCACTGTCAAAAATGAATTATAGTTTTGTTTCCCTAATTTTTACCACTTGTTTAGAGTGTGTGAAAAAGAACTTTAGGAAGAATAAAAAAGTAATTATGAGTGAATGAAGTGTTTGGATGGATAGGGATCCGTTGAGTTGTGGTTGTGGTTGGTTGAGTTAAAGATAGATGGAGAAATGAGAAAGGAGAAAGGAATGGTTTTTGAGATAATGAGATTTGAGAAACAAAGTGTGACAAGTGAATGAGATGATGATATATGTTTTGCCATGCACTTAATTATTCATGCAAAGTGGAATCAGTGTGTGGCTTCCTTTTCATGCATCATTATTATGGCAACTAAGACAAGAAAAGTGGAGAGAATCGAAAAAGACTAACATATGAAGACAAAAAGTCAAATGAAGACGCATGACCCCACATTGATTTCCATATACTTGCTTTGCTTAAGATAACCCTATCTATCTATCTATCTATCTATAATAATATTACGTAGGAAGGACTATAATGTCATCTTAATTTCAGACATCATTGCCACTTATATGTTACATGTTTTACTACACAAACTATATTTTCATACAATAAATATATATAATAAATAGTTTATATTTAATTTATGCTCAAAATCTAAAGTTTAAACCTGTTTAAATAATAAAATCTAATTGAAAGTTTGAATCCATTAGTTGCCTAAACAAACGAACTTGAGCAAATAATTAACCACTTGAATATCTGAATTCATTTATATCCCTACTCACCAATTCAATTAATGCAACCTGGTCGAAACTCCAAATTCAATTTTGGATTCTAAAATGAGGCATGAGCTTGGTGAATAATTAACACAATTACTTTACAATTTAAACCTAGATTATCTATTTAATTTTTTATATTTTTTAAATCATTCAAATATATAAATTAAGTGAGTTTACTTATTAAAATATAAGATAGATAAGTTTATTTACCAAAATATGTGAGTCAGATGAATTTATTTGCTAAAATACGTGGGTTTATTTATTAAAATCAGTGAATTAGTTTGATTCACTAAAATATCTTTTACTTTATGTATTTATACTTTTATATTAGTAAGAAAATTTGTTTTTTTTTAAAGATTAATCTTTCAATAACCAATTTGAATCCACTAAAGTCAATTTCATTTTGTCTTATAATTAGAAAATTTAAATTTTTTTTAACTCAATAGAATGAAACAAGGTTAAAAATCTATATTATATCATCTTTATTTTTAAATAACATTTTATATAGATTCTTATTAATTATTGAAGTTTCTTTTAGATTCTTTAAAAATATTCAAAGACAGGCATGAGTTCTACCATTATGAAGATTTGGACTAATAAAGTTTATTCTCTACTGTGTTGAGTCCACGGTGCATTAATGATATCGTTGTAATTAGTAGAGCACTATTTTTCAGTTCATAATAAACAATAAATTGAAGTTTACAAACAGACACCACTCGTAAATTCATCTGAAGAACTCACTACGTAAATTGTTCATTCAAAAACGTCTTGTAATATAATTGGTGTGACATTTGTTGGAGGATGTAGGGTTCTTGGGAAACACAGTTCCAAATTCTCATTTGTCATGCATAAATTTGATTTTATCATAATACACAAGAATATTCAACTATCAGTAATGTTATATCTACTTACAATTTATAATAAAAATATTAACTATAAATTTAACAGGTAAGTATATTTGATATTCCAAAAACATAAAAAGTATTTTTTTTATAATAAAAATATAGTAATCATTTTATAAAAAGACGTCGAATTATTCATGTCATATTTTCTTGCGATTATTTTAAAAGGAATTATTTGAGATGTATTGTTTTATTAAATATGTGATTTTAATTAATTAAAATTGTTTTATAATATTTACAAAGTTAATAACTTTGAATTTTTTTAGTTATCTATATATTCTTGCGCATTACGTAGGTGATTAAAATGAAGGTAAAAATTTGATGTGTGGTTCAACAGATGGGATGAAAGTGATAAACATTCCTTTAAATGAAGTTGGAGGTGATTCAGAGGTTGGGTAGATGGAAGTGAGAGGATGTTTATTTATGAAGTTGCAGTGCAGAAGCATTGATTCATTCATTGATTCATGTGATGTATGATTTGAAGTTTGACTTTCTGAAATAATGGATGACGTGGAGGGTCCATGCATCATGCATCTTATCCCAACCCTTACCATCCTCACTATATTTCATCATATTTTTTCCATAATCAAACAAACATCTCATACTCTTCCAATATCTATCTTAATTAACTTCCGATAACGAAAATAATTTATCATTTACATTATTTTTTAAAACACAAGTAT